TCAATAGGTCATTCTACTTAATTAATAATTATAACTCCACCCACTAATTAATAATAATTAATCCATTACCAAAAACGACTCTGTGGAATATGGTATCATTATAATAATCTTCTAAACACAATTGTATGAAGTTACGACAGGCCAGAGGAGCCTCTTTGGACCACAGTTCAATATCAATATCACCCAGTGTGGTCTTTAATAGTACCTGAGGGGAGGGGCCAGTAGTCACTAATACAGCTGCTGCTGGATTAACTACCTTTCCTTTAGTAGGGGGCTCTGTTATTTATATGGAACTCATTTCTGGAGCAGTTGAGCTCAAATCAGGACTACTCTCCGTATATCTACTCAGTATATTCAAATCACGTGTTTATTAATTATTTTGAAAACTAATCATCAAGACCTATAGCAAATAAACATTAGAAAATGAAAAAATATTATTATTAAGACACACAAAACAAAAACAATGCAGAATGCATTCAAAAATATTACTATTATTAAAGGGTAATATCATAAAGGGATTTCAGTTTTTTTAGGTATTTCGTCAGCAGCTGCATGGCCATCTGTCTCCCTCACAGCATCTATCAAAGTCTTCCATGTTCTACTAGTTGCATTATCTTTACCCTCTAGCCATGCTTCTAAGGTCTTCCTCAAGTGGTTGTCTGCATCACCACCTCCTTCTCCAATGACATTGAGTTTTGGCTGATATAGACCTAACTTTAGACCCAAGTTATTCCAATTTACTGGACCAAACTGAGCTTCTTTTAAAACTGTTTGTACCATATTGAGATCTGTGATACCTACATTAGCATTAAGAGATTATCATTGTACACATCATGGTATAGTCTTACCTAGTTGTCCGACTTCATCACTATCAGGATTAACAGTGGTACTGTCTTGATGAGGCTGTGCTGATGAAGCATCAGTACCTACATTATATGAAATTTGAAAAATCAGTGATCAAGTCACTAATATACTATGATATACTATAATTTCAATCATTGCAAGGAGTACACGAATTATTTAAAATTGGAAAAATAGAATTAACTTAAGAACAATTCACACTGTAGTACCAATAATAACTAAATCGCCCAATAAATCACTAAATCAACAATAAAGGAATTTTACCTTCAGCTAAGCTCTTTAGGTCAAACCAGCTCCAATACTTCTCTCCCCCACTGATAGTAGGTGGTTTAGTGCATAAGGTGCATTGAACTTTCTTCTCATGTACATTTGTGACAATACGGTAGCAGCCCTCTATAGAAGGGCAGGCAAAGGCAAACTCATAACCATCAGGTTTTATATTAATAGCTTTACTACTGCTACTAATAGCTTCTTTTACTGCTTCACGAATTAGTGAACAGTATTTCCAAGCATCACCTTCAAAATAAATCTCAATGTGCCTGTGTTCAACTTGTACGTCTTCAATTTGTCTGTGTTCAATGCATTCGTGTTTCTTAATGATATGAACGGTGCCAATGTAATTCTTTTGGTGATAAACACGAAACGACATAGCATCTCGATATCTGAGGCATTGGGAAGATGTGTTAGGAAAATGAAATTTTGGTTGCTCAGTGCGCTTCATTAAATTGACAATTGCCAAAGGAAAAATTCCAAAGGGAACAGGCAAAATCACACAGGGATCTTGTTCTTGTTCCATGACAGGGCTGCGCCAGATTATTTGTAATGGGTCAATTATATCTGATTTTAAAGGCTTGTCAGTTTTAGGATAAGACGGCAATGCAGAAGGAATGAAATACTCACTCGGTTTATCAGTCTCAATAATGATGTGAAGGTAAAGCAAAAGCTTGATAAAATCAGCCTTAGGAAAATCCTCATCATCTTTTAACTTTTCCAGGAGTGCTTGGGTGAATAGGCCATTCTTTGTTAAATTTGTCTCTTCAGATTCCGAGAGATCTACACCTTCCTTTACAAAGTGATCAAGATGTTCTTGTGGTATTTGATAAGTGACCAGAGCTAATAGACGCGAGAGAATATCAAGAATAGGATGAGGGTCAACAAATACAACATCTGGCAAAACTTGAGGATAATAAAGAATAATGGTAACATTGTGAAGATATTGTAAAGCTTCCTTTGTTTGATCATCGGTCATTTTAAGGCTATTACCAGCACGTAAGACATCATCCAGCTGAAGGAAACTGCAACTTTTTGCTTTCTCTAACAAAGTCAGCTCAAAAGCAAACCATCGAACAGGTATAGGGATTTTTTCTCCAGAAACTTTTTTACGTATTATTTTGCAAAGCCTTTTGGCTTCAGCTTCTCTTTCAGGGCCAGGCTTAAGCGTTGTATTGACTGCATATATTATATCACCATTGCGTACTGCAGGAATGATGCGATAGCCTTTTTTTTCAGACCCAGATGTTAATGATGATAGCTCTTTATTATATTGCTTAATGACTTCTTGCTTTGCTTCATCCTTGTGTGTACCTAGGACAAAATATTGTGGATATTGAGGAGTTGCAGGTCCAGGACTGGTGTTTTCTTCTGATCCAGGTGGGTGGTAAGGCTGTAAAATAGCTCCAAAATATAGAACATCATTTAAAAATTTGATATTTGTATATAAAAACTTTGAATTTTCAACTTGACTCAATGATGCTCCTTTGATTCGATAATTCTGCTCAAGCTTCTCATTGATACCTTTAGAAAGGTCAATTGTGATGATATTAAAAGAGGATGCTCTAGTAAATAAAGGCAATAGCTCTTGAAATGCTGTCTGGCCACCAGAATCAATAAAGTATACCCAATTACTATCGAATTTACCTTCTGCATTTGGAATGGCCTCAACAATTTCGTTAATTATTTTATTTGCTTCAGTATCATTTGCTGGACCTTTTGTTTCTGCTGTATTTGCTGGTTTTGTTGCTTTAGTATCCTTAGGGCTACCAGTAGGGTTGGTTTTTGATGAATACTCCTTTGACTTTGCATCATGGTCTTCTGGTGGGGGGTCCTCTGGTGGGGGGTCCTTTTGTTTTGTTGCGGCTTCCTTTAGATCATTTGCCAGTCTTGAAAGAAGAGCTTCAGCATCAACTATTTCCATACGATCATCATGGGATGATATTCTTGTAGCTTTGACAGCACGACAAGCTATTGGTGTGCTGCTATTTTCTTCTGGTGGTTCTTTATTTAGTAAGAGGTGTTGTGAACACGTTTTACCAGAGCCAGGGAGACCATGCATTTGAACACGTTTAACGGTTAGCTCAACTGTGCTTTTTAACCATTCATTTACAGCATCTACATAAAAACAAAAAATGAACTTTTTAGGTACATAATTAATTTATTACAACCTGGGGCAAGTCCCCAGACATTCTTTTCACCAAAATGCATCTATACATGTACCATACAAGTGGTTTTTTTTTGAGGGAATTATATTTTGCAAAATCTGCTAAAATTCCAATTCGCATGCAGATTTTAATTTCCTGAATTCTATCACGTGTGCCATGCGGGTACCATATTAAATTGATTTTTGCAGATTTTACTTTTGCGAATCAGGAGGGAATCTGCAAAATTCGAAAAATTTGCAACCCTCAAAAAACCACTTATACAGTATTTTATTTATTTGCATGTCACGCTGTAATGGAGAAATAAAAATTAAGGTGCCCAAGCAACCGAACTGACCACACTGCAGTCTGCATATGAAAAGTGGATGTGGCCATGCCAAACAAAATGACCTACAGACAGTGGCGGATCTATGGAGGGGCCAGGGGGGCAATGTCCCCCCAAAAATTTTCTGGAGTAATATAAACTTTGGTTTACCTGTGTAAACTGTGAAGCAGCTGCAGTACTGGACTATGTAAACTATCTTTAAACCACAAAGGAGCTCATTTTAGCAGGCTTAGTCTTCATAGTTTTTACTCCCCCAAAAGTTTTGCACAAGCTTAGTTGACCACACCCCTAATTACCCCTCCCATCTCAAAATTGCCCCCCCAAAACTTAACTCCTAGATCCGCCCCTGCCTACAGATATTACAGTAAATTAATGACCTTAGATTAGCAGCTGACAAATGGGGCAACATGTTGAGCTTTCTATATAATAGCAACAAACCATAGAAATATTTCTAAAGCATTATAGAGAACTTTGATAAGTCATAATAAGAACCCAGCTTTGCATGCAAAGTGGCTGCTACTACTACTATGAAAAAATGTCAAGCTCATCACAGATCAGCCCCTCTCCTTGTCCTCCCATATACTTAGTCTATCCTGTTATGTGTATAGAGGACAAGGAGAAGAGCTGTCTACACTGCCGTAATTGGTGAACCCTAGCCTCAGGCCGCTTCTTCTAAGCTCCATTACTACTACGAGGCATGTGAGTTTTATAGACACATGATCTATCTAAACCAAATTAGATTGCAGTTGTTAAAACTTCCCAAAAAGGTTCACAATATTGTTCTTGTAAATATTTCCAGCCATATAGTACATACCTTCTGTGAGTGGATTTTGAGTGTCTGGTATTCTGTCAGCAGCTGGAGTGTCTTCAGTACTAATAGGGTCAGCAGTAGGTGGTACAATATCTCCTGTAATGATGGAAGTAAAAAATATGTAATTTTTTGAGTTAAGCCAAAAAATTATCAGTTGTAGGTTGTCTGTAGCTACCGAGGGAGTGACTATGATAACAGTAGTAGTTATAATCAGAATAAGGTTATAATTATGGTATTAATGTAGAATAATGCCATGTACCATACGGAAGGAAATTTTGGAGGTAGTTAAATTTGGCGAATTTGGTGTTTTGATAGCCTTTCGCCAAAATAAAAATTCGCCATTTTGAGCCATTATGCGCATGCTCAATGGCACATTACCAGAAATTTGCCAAATTAAAATTCGCCAATCACCAAAATTTTAGCAATTCGCCAAAATTTAGTCACTCCAAAATTTCCTTCTGTACGGTATTAGCTTAGCTTACAAGTTGCAAAGTTTATTTGAATTCAAGATAATACATGTATAAACTTTTGCGAGGAAAACTGTACAAAGGGCTGTATTCTTATTGTGGGTGGGCCTGAGAGTGCATTGGAACAGTTTACACAACAATGTAATGCAAGACAAACACACCCCAACCCAATAGTTACTAATAATGGTGCATAGAGACAGTATCAAAACTTTTCTAACGTGTAAGCCACCATTTTGGTAGTTTGTTTGCTGTGGCCATACCCAATAAAATAGATAATATATAAAAGCCTTACCTCTTATTCTTAAATCTCTTTCAACTCCATCAGCTATAGCATTCTCTCCCATCCTCCTCAATGCTTTTATTAATGTGTCATAAGTTGAACCACCTCTTCTCATAACACTATCTCTTTGTTCCAACCATGCTGTCAAACATTCTCTTAGACAGCTACGAACATCTCCTTTGTTATTTTTCTCAATAACATCAAGTGTGCCAGGGAGTAGTCCAAGACGAAGACCAAGTTTATAATAACTGACACCAGAATATTCATGATCATCCAGTACATCAAGTACATCAATAAGATTACTGGTATCTAATAGACAAAAGATAGTCTGAAGCATCATATATACATGTAAATTAAAGTACCGTATTTCCTTGAATAAGAGCTTATTTGTTATAAGGATTATATGTAAATTTAGTGAAATAAAAAATGTCATCCAACTCTAAGGCATGAGGTCCAAATAAAGGCAAGCACAATAATATATCTAACTATCCTAGCAAATCAGGGCCACTGCAAATATGCAATATGAGTACATTGGTGATTGGTGTTAGTTTAGAAAAGGTGCTTATATGGTGCATGTACATGTACATGTGTATTTATTTACTTAATTCAGTGGGTTGCACTGTGAGTCTCTTAGCAGGTGGACTGGAGGGTGGCCTTTCAAAGTCGTTTCCATACACTAAAAATATTTTAATGTAAACACAATATAATACTGATATGAAATGATATACAGACACACAAAAATATATACAACAGTTAGTAAAGAAGTAAAAAAAGAAAACAAAAGAAAGGAGTGATGGAGTGCTACAAGTTCTACTCAAGTTTTGAGCAATAAAAAATAAATGGTTCCATCATTAACTGTAGCACTTCATCTCCATCATCTTTGTCTCCTTATGCAAATTCTTCATTCTTCTTGGAGTTTCCTATTGCAAGAGTCTATTTTGATCCACTGCCAGCTATCTGCTGTTCATTGCACATGGACATAAAATTCACTAGTGATTGGCGATATATTGATATTTTATCGATATTGACGATATTTTATGGTATAAATATCATATCAAAATTGACCTTTAAAATCGACCATTCGATATTGATGCCACACCCACTACACACCCACATACCACACCCTTCTAATTAAAAATTATCGTTAGTCTACACGGTTTAGCTCATAATAATTAAATTAGCTCGTAATAAAGCTATTCTACGGAACTGTCAGCATGCTGGATTCAACTTGACTGTTTATTTTTTGCTTTTATGAATGGATTTTGCTTGATTTCAACGCCTAAAGCCCTCCATACACCAGGCAACTTGTTGCTAGCAACATGTTGCCTGGTATATGGAGGGCTTAATGTTAAAATGGGGTGTGGCTTAGTATTGTATCGTTTTAATATCAATAATCAACGATAATTAGCCAATATCATATCGTATCATATCGATTGGAAATTGTTAATATCGCCCATCACTAAAATTCACTTACAAATTTTTGCAAAATTTGTGAAATTAAAATTTTAGGCTGATATAGAGTCTAGATCTACCCTTGTACTGTAGGGCATGTTATTTTTGTGGGTCTATATTTTGTGGTTTGCTTCTCGTTGAGCAATTTATGGTTTTAATTTTTTATACTAGTCTTGTGTAGCTAAATCCTCTCTCTGTTCCTACAGGA